TCTTTACATAATGACTTTGTCAATATATCGGCAACATTATCATTTGTGTTGACATATTCAATATTTATAATATTTTCATTAACTAATTCTTTTATATATTTCCTTTTGTCGATTCAGCCTGAGATTCCTTACATTCATTCCTCGAAATTTGTCATTAACGTCTAAATTCTAACATCCTATTTACAAAATTATATTTACACTTAATTATATACAATTATCCAGAATGAGTAACCTAACGATGGTTTCGTTAGGACCCATTAGCTCGTCAACGGAAGGGGCGCTAAATTCAAAACCCCTTTTTGCTCTCTGGAATGGGACAAAGACTACCGTGTCTTGAAATGAGATATTAAACGGCCTGCCTGCCCTTACATGGTTCAGAGTCATATAATCCTTAGATACATCATCTTTTAAAATAGGAATGGTGATTGGCTCTGTTTTTGTATTCCTATAATAAACAAATTTATTAATTCTAGATAATGATATTTTATGAGTCAATAGTTTTTTGTTCCACCCTTCTATTTTGGCTGGTTCACCTTCTACTTTCGGAGAGGTCCGTTCTGATATCGGAGGATCAATTAATTAATCCTAACAGTTACGCCCTTATAATTAAGTTAATTAAAATATAAAGTTGTGAAAGGAGCTGTACAATGATGAAATCGCATTAATTCGATGGATAGATAGATGGCAATTTAAATTAATCTGTAAGGTTTCGAATTTTTACGTTCACACCCTACGAATATTTTATATATCATTCCTCAAATGAGTTTTTTTTTGTCAGTACACTATATCTTTGGCAGTTCTTAATGAAACTCGGTAAATAATTGCCAATTCAAACAATTCAGAGCCGATAAATAAGTAATAAATGAACATCTCCCAAAAAAAAAAGGGAAAATAAAGTTATGGAAAATATAAAAATTTATTTTAGCAAAACTCAAAAAGTGCAAAATTTATGGTTGATGGCATTAATTATAATGGATTAAGATAAATTTAATTACTTTATTATTGTAACATAAATATTCGACATTTTAAAATTACATGCTTAAAAAGAATATTGCGCTTAAACTACTTACAAGGAGAGATAACGAACCAGGGGTCAACTATTTCAATAAAACTTTTTTGATAGAAGAATATTAGACCCATGTAGGAGGATTATTGCCAATGCGCCCTGGAAGCCAATAAAAACATAATTTACCTAGTGCGTGTTATTAAATATAAAATATAAAAGCTTGCTGTGCAATTATGTTTGGTTGCTGAGCACACAACATACTGATTAATCTTTTTACTTATTAATCTGATTAGTATTTTAACTACTAGTATACTACTGTTTTCTGACTTTGCTCTGCATAGATTTCTAGAAGTTAATATTTGGATGTGATGGCCGAGCATATTGTATTGTGGGTTCTGAGAGAGCACAGTACTAAATCATATGGGTTCGATTCCTCCAGCATCAGTTGGTTAATACTTATTACTTTCACTTACGTATATATGTAATATATAGTAAGAGTAAGTATTACGATCGAGAAAATTTTTGAATCTGAGTTTTCGACGGATTTATACGTTTAGAGGTACCCTGAGTCGATTTGACCAAGTCCCAAAAAATGGTCTGTGTGTCTGTGTGTTTGTATGTTAGCAGTCTAGCTCAAAAACGAAAAGTCCTATGAAACTGATATCACGTATTTAAGATAGGTATATGCCTTAGTTGTGATGTCAAATTTTTCCTTAAAATCGGCTAACCGGAAGTGCCACTTTATATCAACGCTGAAACACATTTTCACAGTTTTCTCAAAAACGGCTCTAACGAATTTCATTAAACTCGGTGTATCATTGTATAATTAAGTGGTATTTAATATAAATTAGGTCTTATCCCCATTGATGTCACTTTACAGGGCTTAAATGCCCAATGTTCATATACGTCTTTCTCTAAGGTACCTTTAATATGGTTTATTTTAAAAAGATAATTATTTTGCATTATTCAGAGTTACGGAAAAATGATAAATATAACTTTTGAAAGAATTTCATAAGTTAATAAGGGAGAAAAAAAAGTAAAAATGCAGAAAAACGTAGCTATAGACTGTAGCGCCTAAACGAATGTACCGATTTCATTGAAACTTCGCTAAAGTCATTTTCTCGACACCCTTTAAATTTATCTATATAACATTCATCAGCGAAAAGAAGCTGAAAAGAGTTACGAGGGATGGTAAAATTAAATTCCGAATAACTCAAAACGTATACACTTTTTTGGGTTGTGATAAGATGTTTCAAAGGTATTTAAATTGCCTAAAAAACAAAAGAAGTTTCATCGAAATCGAAGCACTATTAGTAGAGATATCGCGATTTTTAAATATTTTTACTTTCACTTACGTATATATATTTATTAATACGTATATATATTAATAACTCTAGATCTCATAATATATTTAAATATTTAGATATCTATCGTCCGTTTATTCCGAAAAATCATCATGTAACCTTTTAGAAAATTAAATTAGTGAATAGTTTGATAATTTTTCTTTTTGCGATATTCCAACAGAATCCACTTACAATTAGTGTAACAACTTTTGACCTGTCCGTTTTAATAAACTTTGCAATGGAAAATAACAGTTTCATGACTTATAGTCATACAATCCATAATCAATGGATCGAACAATCCATAATCAACGAATCGTACAATCCATAATCCAAGGTGATATAATAAATAGGACTTTTGTTATTTTAATAGCATTTGTGTTTTTTTATCTTTAGCTCAGTTTAAAATACAATTTAAAACATTTTATAATAGTCAAACATGGCCAGAAAATAATTTTTATTCAAAGTTCAAAGAGTAAGTGAAAGTTGTGTGTTGCGCGCACCAGATTTTTTTTTGTTGGCTCCTGGAAATATATTCCACTCTGGTAAGCACGCAGCGGTGACCTTTAAGTAGAAGGCGGAGGTTTGCTTAAAAGAATAAAAACCCCCATTTGCCACACCTGTTCTCCCACCAGTAGCAGTACTAGTACCAGTAGATTATATAATATTTTAATATTTTTTGTAAAATAATAAAAATATATTGCATATAGTATTTCTCGTGAGAAATAAATTATAATAACCGAAAAGTGCTTCTAGTAAGCAGACAAAATAAATTTTCATCTAGAAAAAGCAATTCAGATTCTTTTCTAGCGGCTTTAAAAATTCTTAAGCAAGAACTTGTTTTCGAAATAAAAATACATACATTTTTTTACTTGATTTTATTGGTGTTTTTTTGTCATGCTGTTTACTAAAGCACTGCTAAATGAGTCCTAACTCCTCAGAATTATCTGCTAATTTAACGCTGCTACAACCGATGGAAAGAGAAATTGTCAAAATTTCATGTTCAACGAATGGAGACATTGAAAATGAATTCATAATTTGCAAATAACTCGAAAAGTACGTAATTGATGGTGCATTGTATATATGAGTATTAGAAAGTTTACTAAATTCCCTACGAAATCGAACGATTTGATGCAGTTTTAGCGTTCTGAACTTTTAGTACTTGTTGTACTGCAAATATTTTTTTTTTGCATTTGGGAATTTAATTTTCTTGAATTTGCCCTTTTTTAATGCATCAATTAGTAATTATTCTTTTTATTTGAAAACATTTTATTATTTTTTAATAATTCAATAATTAATTTTATAAATGTGTTTCCTTAAAATACTTCTTGGAATATTTGTCAATCAATGTGCTTCAATTACTTTATCTTTTTGTTTTAGATCTTTATAATTGAATTTTATCATTTAATTAGTACACTTTTGTTTTTTTGTTTTTTTTTTAATGATAAAGTAACATATATTCTGATTGCATTAACTATTTCTTCTTAAGAATTTGAGCCTTTTGTCCTTTGCTGTCATTATATGTTATAGCAATGCTTAGAAGCTTTTGCTAATTTATGAAATCTATTGAAGGATGCAGCTAATATTTAAATTATAAGACCCAATTATTGGTCAAAAACAGGATGTTGCTTTAGGTGATACATTTTAGAACATGAAGTAGAAATTTGATGATGGGGCACATTATTATTAAATTTAAGCCTTGCATCCACAAGAGTAATGCATCGCCTTGCCTTGCATCGCAGTTCCGAAGTTGGGAATAAATATCCCGAAATGTCAACTAACTTGTTAACATGTAACGTTGGTAATAGAAATATACTCAATTGTTACCAATTGGAAGTTATTATAATAACTAAAAATTAAATTATAAGTTTAAGGAAACATTATGGTTAAACCTTGGCAGATTGTAAATCATATTTATAACTGATGGCTTACTCAATATAAGTATTAAAACTTTAAGTATCAAACGTTATTGAATGGAAATTGTGCTGAGCTCTAGATGTATTAAAATCAGATACAAATATTAGGTTTGTGAGGAGTTTTCGCACGGGTCAGCTAGTAGAAGATAATAGTTCAACAATACCTTGAATTATATAGTATAAAAATTTTCCTTCATTCTAACACATACTGGTACTAGTTCTGGTGTATTTGGGAAGAACTGTTGGAATAGTGGGACTTGTTGTCCTTTTTTTCCTTCTCCTGACAGCTACTTATAGGCTGTTTTGGCTCCCAAATCAGATTGGGAATATCATCATTCATTTGTCAGGGTCGGTAAGAAATAAATATTAACTAATCGAGCTGGGAATCAAACCCACAATGTCCCAAAGTAGATGCCCAGGACCCTCTTTCCAATGTACTTGACCATCACGTCCTATATTACGTAATATGCAATGTTTTAAAACATAATCTAGTAAGATTTGTAATGAGCAATTACGCATGAATATTATGTTCCTTTAATAAAATGACTAAAAGAGCAAATTTCTACTTTCTACTTCATAGAGACATAATGTGTGAAGATAATGCATTTGTCTTACTAATATCAAAATTAAATAGATATTTTAAATGGTTTATCACTTTTTTTTTTTTTTTAGATCTCCTAATTCAAAGTTAGGAATTAGTACCAGTATAAAGATATATTTTTTATAAATTTCATTTAGGTTTCAGATCCTGGAGGTTCAATTTTCGTTCATGTATTTGGAGCTTATTTTGGATTATCTGTATCTAGGATACTTGGAAAACCTAAATGTAATAATTTGGAAGCAACAAGCTATACTTCTGATATGTTTGCTATGATAGGTAAGTTGAACTTTAAAAGGTAAAAGCTTTTAAATATACCTGGTGTTCATTTTTATCTTTTTCATAATTAAACTCAATAATCAGGCTATCTGTCTCTAATATTGAATTAATGCAACCTACTAGCCTAAACATTTCAAACATTTTTAACAATTTATTTATCAATTTATTTTCATTAATAACTAACGTACTCTTATTATTTTATATAAACATACAATCCAATATAATATCATTTTTCTAATGCCATAAACTATCACCAACCCACAATTTTTTAAACATCAGTGTAGCCTTTGAAAGTTTCATTTCTAACATATCTATATGTTTATAAATTTAATGTTTTATGTTCTGAAAGTGAAATTATGCCTTCTGCTTTGTTCATATTTTGTATTACTTTTTTTTCTTTTCCATTTTAACCAATCCTTGGTAAATTTCTAATGTTCTGGAATTGGCACTTGGTGTTGGTAATATTGCAGTTACAATATATACCATTTTTCCTTATTTTTTTCTGTTGGCTTTACAGGCTTTGTAAATCTTTTGATGCCTCAACTAGCATTCTCTACCTCAGCCTATCTTGAGCTATTTCTTTCCATTTATCAGCATGCAGCTTTACAGCATCTTTGTTGAACCAATTTATCCATGTAATTTTTGGCCTTTCACATGGTCTCCTAAGAGCCTCCTATTAAAGCATTCGTAAAAATATATACCACTATATTGTATAATACTGAATTCATCCAAAAATTGAATATATTAAAAAATTATCTTATATATTTAGAATTTTTTTTCTTATGCAAAGTAAACTAATTTATTGATAAAGCTTAATTCAATTTACATACATGATTTACAGGAACCTTATTTTTGTGGGTGTTCTGGCCAAGTTTTAATGGTATCTTTACTAATACCGATGATGAACAACAGCGAGCAATCATCAATACATATATTTCATTAACAGCATCATGTGTAACTGCGTTTGCTGTTTCAATCCTTACTGACAGTAACAGAAAGCTAACAATGGTACTTTTTAATTAATTTTAAATGTTTCAAATTCCTAATTATTGTTTATCTACAACCAGCAGTAAATTAGATAACTGCATACAATAGGACTTGTAACTGTTTTTTTAGTCTTAAAAAATTAAAATTATATTACTTCTTAAAATAATTTTCTTCTTCCCTTAGGTAGAAAATCTTTACACAATTTATACTTCACCTCTATTTTGTAATATTTGTTACCAATAGGATTACTTCTTAAAATCATAATTCATTTTCCCAGGGTCACATTCAAAATGCATCATTAGCTGGTGGTGTTGCAGTTGGAACTGTTACAACTTTGGTTATTCACCCATTTGGAGCACTCATTATTGGTGTTGGTGGAGGTCTCATTTCCACTCTAGGTTTTGTATATGTTCAAGTGAGTAAGCTACAGTTTATTTCTTGATGTAGTGGTAAATCTATCTAATGTGATGTCTAAACTATAACAACCACAAATACTTATTGTAATTAACCATTAAATGAAATCAACTATATTGTTCTCCAGGTATGCAGTGCCTTTCCTTTTACAACATTCTCTTGTCCGAATTTCTCTTGGATTTTATTCCTTCATCCATCGATACTGCTAAGGATTTTTTTTTTTTTCGAAACCTTAGCATAACTAAATTTATTACTTCTTGTTCCTTCACTTGACTTATCCTTGTTTTTAAATCTTTTCTCTAGCCTCTGAGAGACATCATTTTTAATTTTATTTTTGTTTAGTGAAAATAATAAATAATAAGTCTTAGTACATAATTATGTCAACCTCTTTATTTATATCAACTCTGTTGATTTTTTACAAGTATAAACACAGTCTTTTAATTTTCAGTTTATTCATATAGACAAAAATGTTTTACCATTAAAAATAATATGCTCGGTGTCATTAGAATTACTGTTATAATGATATAGACAGTAAATGTTTTAGCCAAGACATTTTTTTTATCATTTTATTATTAGTAAATTGAAATTGAAATATTTATTGTCCCATTAAAAAGAAAAATATATAGTTTAGTTAAGTTGGTTTGTTTAACCGATGTATTGAAATTAAAGAGAAATTCCAGATTTAAAATAATTGAGTGAATGTCTACAATATAGTTGCAGAGATTACATAAATAATAAAATTTGGGAACATAAATCTTATTTTATTTTTTACAAAATAGGCTGTCTCCAAAAATTAAAAAAAAAATGACTTATTCCTTCACTTAGTTTGTTGGAAACAAACTTCTAAAAAAACTTCACAGTGTTTGATTGGAGTTAAAGAAGAGTGAAGTAACCTGGTGGGTAGATGGGTAGAACATTAAACTTTTATGCTGAGTTATTTTAGCAATAGAAAATTTTAATCAGATATGCCCAGAAAGTGGTTTCATGGCACAAGTTGCAGCATCAAAATTATTGAGGGGGACCAATTTTCGAGGAGGGCAAATTTCAATGGGGTTATGAATTTTCGGCCTAAGGGACAAGCGGAAAACATGGAACAGACAAGCAAGTGTATTGTATATGGTCTACGATTTTTTTTTTTTTTTACTTCTACCTTCGCTTGCTCTAAAAATGAGCAATAAAATATCATGGGAGGAGGAAGGGGGTTCTTGCACCACTGACCTTAGGGAAATGGGCACTCCTGATTTTAGCAGAGAATACTGAGCTTTGCTAGGGTGTGTTCCTTGTTTTGACAGAGATACAGACTATATATTATTAAATAGTTAAGGTGGCAAACTCTATTCACTCAGCTTAATGACGGAATAGTTTCTTAAATAAATACAAAGTAATATGCATTAAAAAAATTGTCAATATGGCAATGAATTGCATATATTTGAACACACTTCACCAAATAAAAACATGGCAGAAATAAGATTATCTATGTCTCTCTCTGATGATGAGCCAGTTTTTCTTATATTTTCTTTTATTAAATGATAATCTAGTTTATACACTGCATGATGTCCTTTAACTCTCACTATAAATAAAGTTTTCTTTCTTTATTATTTTAATGCTATGTGTTTACTAAAGATTATTTGTTATTAGAAATGGCTCGAAAGGCGAACTGGTCTTCATGACACATGTGGGGTTCATAACTTACACGGCTTACCTGGAGTGTTTGCTGGTATCACTAGTGCTATTGTAGCCGCGATTGCTACTCAGGAAGTATACGGACCAAGGTAAATATTATTTCTAAAATTACCTAAGAAATTCAGACAGAAAATTTTGATTAATATATATATATATATATATATATATATATATATATATATATATATATATATATATATATATATTGTAAAGCAAGTTTTGTCATAATAATTACTGAATCAATTCTAAGTTAAATAATCTGTGAATCAAAGCTTCATTTATTTTCTTTTTCCTGTCTTCTCTGCCCAAATTTTCCAGTAGTCCATCCTTTTTTATTCTTCTTTATTCAAGGAAAATATTTTTTTAAATGCCTAAGCAATGCAGAAAGATAACTTTTATTACAATATATATATATATATATATATATATCTTATATTTGTAACTAGTAATAATATAACCTCAGAAGCTCACTTTCTACCATTGGGATACTTCCAAAAGAAATAAGCAGTTTTTAAATAATAAACAAAATTATAAGAGTATTAATATATTAAATTGGAATATATAATAGTTTTATCTCAGGTGTGGGTTACTGACAATCAGATCAAAAGACTCGAACATACTATTATTATTTATGAGAAGGAGTAGATCGAGGGGGTGCGGTAAAATAAATACTAAATTTTAAATGATAGTATTTTTAATTACTTCGACCCACCTTGTAGATCTTCATCCGGGTCGAGTCTATCAAGTCTATTTGAGTCTATCAACTGCATCCTGCAGTGCCACATGCCACGCCCTGATGAAGACCTGCAAGATGGTTCGGAACTTCAGTGTAATAATTAAAAATACTATCTTTTAAAATTTAGTATTTATTTGATCCCCAATAGTATTTATTTTTTATCCCAGACAAAACTGTTCCCAACAAAAGAGTCTCCCTTAAATATTCCTACTTTCATTGTTATACACTACTTTTAACTACCAAGTATATGTATGTATAATTTCACTTTCTAACTTTTTAACAGACATTCTAATAGATCTATGATGCGAATATGTTCTTTGTACATGTCATTATTATTATTATTATCATTATGTACCTCTCTTAAGTGATAATGAATTAAATATTTATTCAGATTATTATTTTCTAGATTATTTTTAATATATAAAGCAAGAGCTCCAGAAGCCTTTACATCAGAACTTAAAGAAATTCAACATCAACTCATTCAGGTATAAGCATTCATCGATTTAAAATAATTTATATAAATTTAGGTAACCATTTACAGAATCAGGTCACTTATTCTTGCTGTATCTTGATTTTAAACAAGACCAATTAAATATTTTCTGTCTGGTCCATATTTATATTCAAAAAGAAATTTATATGTATATAGCATTTCCAAGTCAATTTCAACCTTTTCTAAATCAAATTCAACCTTTTCCAAGTCAAATTCAACCTTTTCCAAATCAAATTCAACCTTTTCCATTTCAAATTCAACTTTCGAATTTTTATCAATTTTTTTCGAAATGAAGGCCACTTACTATATTATCGAAGGCATAGCTTTTGAAAAATACAAAAAAAATTTGAAAACGCGGTTGCATATCCATTTATTTTAACATTTTAGATTTTTTCAGTGTAATATTTCTATGTCATATTCAATTATTTCGAAGTCAAATTCAACCTTCTCCAAGTCAAATTCAACCTTTTCCAGATCAAATTAAACTTTTTCCAAGTCAAATTCAACCATTTCCATTTCGAATTAAACGTTTTCCAATTCAAATTCAACCGTTTTCATTTCAAATTAATGTTTTAATTTTTTGTAAATTTTATATTTTTTTTAAATAATGACCATCCTCTCCCCCCCCCCTCCAATATGAAAGTCTATTATTATGCTCTCCTAAGTAGAATTTTCACTTACGGATATTGATTTATTGTACCTATTAGGATTTATTAGGGACTAGTATTATGCTGTCTATTTTTAAAATAACCTCCATTTTAAGATTGCGCCACTGCGTTACGACTTATTTAAGTTTTTTTGATTTATTCAATACGAGGGTGTATTCTTATGTTTTCCGAGCCATTAATTATGAAAATAAGCTCCATTTTATGATCAGGCCAAAGCGTTTTGAGTTATTTAAGTTTTTTTAATTTATTCAATATAAAAGTCTACTTTTATGTTTCCGGAGCCGAAGATTTTGAAAACAACCTCCATTTTAAGATTACGCCACTGCTTTTCGACTTATTCAAGTTTTTCGAATTTATCGAATTTAAAGGATTTATGATGCCGGAGCCTTAGTTTTTTAAACGACTTACATTTTAGGATTAGGCCACTGTGTTTCGGGTTTTTTTAAGTGTTTTTGATTTTTCCTTCGAATAAAAAACAAAATACGAAGGATTAATTTATTTTTCAATAAATAAATAAAAATGTCTCATTTTAAATTTAATTTTAGTCATCTTTTTTAATGTTGTGGTCTGCTGTAACAAAATTATAAGATTTCGATCAATTACCTGAAAAATCTATTTAGGGTAAATTTATTACCAGTTGCTTTTCGGCTTTTTAGTTTGTATTCTGTGGTTAATTTAACTTTAGCTTCATAATATTTATTTATTTATTTATTCATACTCGAAAACATATTGATGAAACTTTGTATTGAAAAAATCCAAAATGAAGCCTAATTAATCGAGATGCAGCGGCTAAATCATAAAATGAAGATTAAATATTGGATAAATTTAAATATTAAAGATTAGAAAATTTTCAATACGTCTCCGATAGCATATAAGTAGATCCTTATACCGAAAAAGTAAAAAAAAAACTTTTATAATCCAAAAAACAGTACCATAAACTTGAAATGGAGTCATTTACAAAATGGGGGAAATCTACTACTCCAGAAACATAAAAGTAGACCTTTAAATTTGATAAATTCGAAAAACCTAATAGGTTAAAACGCAGTGGCGTAATCATAAAATGAAGATTAAATATTGGATAAATTTAAATATTAAAAATTAGAAAATTGTCAATACGTCTCCGATAGCATATAAGTAGATCCTTATACCGAAAAAGTAAAAATAAAACTTTTATAATCCAAAACACAGTATCATAAACTTGAAATGGGGTCATTTACAAAATGGGGGAAATCTACTACTCCAGAAACATAAAAGTAGACCGTTAAATTTGATAAATTCGAAAAACCTAATAGGTTAAAACGCAGTGGCGTAATCATAAAATAGAGGTCATTTTCATAATCTACGGTTCCGAAAACATAAAAGTAGAGCTTTAAATTGGATAAATTCAAAAAACTTAAATAAGTCAAAATGTAATGGTGTAATCATGAAATGGAGGTAATCTTCAAAATCTACGGCGCTGGAAACATAAAACTAGACCCTTACATCGAATAAATCAAAAAAACTTAAATAAGCCGAAACGTAGTTGCGTAATTTTAAAATATAGGCCATTTTCAAAATATACGACTCCGGAAACATAAGAATACACCCTCATATGAAAAAAATCCGAAAAACTCAAAGAAATCGAAATGCGGTGGCCTAATCTTCAAATGGAGGTCGTTTTCAAAATCTACGGCTCCGGAAACATAAAAGTAGACCCTTATACCGAATAAATCAAAAAAACTTAAATAATTCGAAACGCAGCCACGTAATCTTAAAATCGAGGTTATTTTCAAAAACTACTCATACGATAATAGACACACCCATCGAAAAATTAAAGATAATTAAATAAATAAAAAAAGGTTGAATTTGAAATGGAAAAGGTTTAATTTGAAATGGAAAAGGTTGAATTTGATTTGAAAAAGGTTGAATTTGACTTGGGAAAGGTTGAAATTGACTTGAAAATGCTATATATATATATATATATATATATATATATAATATATATATTATATATATATATATATATATAGAGAGAGAGAGAGAGAGAGAGAGAGAGAGAGACAATCTCATTTTGGTTTCACTTGTTTTTACATTTATATAGATGTAACCATAATGAAGTTCAATGAAACAGTATAATAAATTTCTAAACTGGGCTTATAATGAATAAAGTGCCATTATTTAACAATAGGTTTTATCACAATTAGTTGTCTTTAATTCATAGTTGATAAAACGTTTTCTATTATCACATTCTTACCAAAAACATATTTTGAAATTGAGAGATATAAAGATCCCTGAAAATGAGATTCATATTTAAACTCTTTGGTCTGAAATGCAGATTAAAAAAAAAAATGTATGTATATAAAGTAATTGTTTCTTTCAAATATGGAAACATTTAGTTTAAATAGTTAAAAGTAAAACTTAAAAAAATAAATGTTAATGTCTCCTGGAATCAATATAAAAATATTTGTATACCAAATACGAAAATTTTTTTTTTTACTGCCTTACATTTTTCTAGGCCTAGATTTTAAATTATTAAGCTTTTAGGAATTATGGAAAAAAAATTATGTTAGTTTTAAATTTGTTTATTAATGTCAACTAACCTTGATTTATGACAAAAATATTTTTCAGTCTCCAATTCCAATTTTAGTGCATTGTTCTGTTTTGAGGATAAATACATGTTAAACAAAACATGTAGCTACAAAATATATGCATTCATTTAAGGAATAATAAGAGTAAGATACAATAACAAATTACTGAAAATATATTTTTGAACTAAGAGGTTTCTAAAACATAAAGATCTATTGAAAACTGCACTTTCACAATACTTTCCTGAACAAAGTACAGTAGAGAAATTATACAAATGTTGGTCGAAACCGTAACTGTTTTTGATGCCGTAGCTGGAAAATTGAAGTCTAGGAATCTAAATCACATTTCATTAGAATATTTTCCAGTTTCCATCATACTAACTGTCATCAGTCATATCATAACTAATTATTCAATATAACATTCGTTAAATCTTTCTTAATTTTGTGTTTAGCCAAATTAGAAAAAAAAAATTCTCACATTGCACATTTTTATCTTTAATGTATAAATTTTATTTTATTTCACTTACAGAATTAAATATAACTCAAATACCATAAAATGTAATAATAAAGTAAACTATAATTGAATCTACCAATCGATTTATTATATTATTCAAGGTCCTACCTGGAGAGGACCGATCTGCACTAGGCCAAGCGGTTTATCAGCTTCTTGGACTTGCTGTTACTTTAGTTGTTGCTGTAACCTCTGGAATCTTTACTGGTTCGTAATCACATTTCCAGATACATTTAATAAAATTATAAACTTTAAGTTCAATTTAAGAGGATCTTTAATCTTTTGTTTTCATGTTTTTCTGCTACAGGTTTGATTTTAAAAGTGACAAGCCGTTGGACTGGTATAGTGCCAGAAGAATATATTCACAACGATGAACTATACTGGAATATGGAACAGGAAGATGATAAGAAACCCAGGACTCTCGAGCTTGAGACTGATAGTAACAACAGACTGAATGTTGTTTAAATTAACAAAATGTACAAAAATTTTATGTTTATGTGCTCAAATGCCATCACCATCTTATAAATTTATAATGATAATGATAAATTCAGTTTTTTCACCCATTCACAATACTTTCCTGAACAAAGTACAGTAGAGAAATTATACAAATGTTGGTCAAAACCGTAACTGTTTTTGATGGAATTGAAGAAATGGCAATTTTAAGAGACTTTAAATTAAAGTTATTTTATTTTTATTTAGTTCAATATTCAATTTCATTATTGTTGAAGTAAATATAAATTAAATCAATCATGCAATAAGAAACCAACTGAAATTTTGTAGATATTGTATTTTATATATAAGCCAAATCTATAACTTGTTCAAGAATTGAACTTTAGGAACAAAAATCCAATGGATAGCATTCCTTCATAATTATAAATACTATTATATTTAGATAGAGATTTAAGTTTTTGCTCTAAAACAAAAACTTTTGAAAAAAAATATAGATTCAGCTTATAAAATAAAATTTCAACTAAATAGGGCTGGTTCTTCATTGCATATCTGGGTTCAGCTGTATTTTATTTATAAGTTTAATTATTAATTATTTGTCAATTAATAAATACATTGTGTATTTCATGTAAGATATCTAATTCCACTTGGATGTACAAATATATGTTAATGTTTATTTTCTTCCTTTGCTGACTTATTTAATTGAGAAGTTCAAAACTGTAGGTCCTCCATAACAATAAACTTTTAAAAAGTTTGTTTTTAAACAGAAACTTTTTTGTGATGAATGATAGTTGAATATTTTTTTTAAATATTCTAAATCTGAAATTATTTTTTAGCAAAACTGTTTTTCCATAATTTGATTTGTTGGATTTTCACTAAAAAACTTATTTTAAAATCTATTTAAAGAGAAAGTATTGCTAAGTGTAGAAACGAACTAAGAATTACCAGCAGTAACTTCTTTCACTGATTACATATTCTTATGCTGACTTAAAATTAAGGCAATTTCGTTATAATGTTGTTTTATGAATTACATTTTAGTATACATTACCCTAAAAATAAAAAGGGGGGGGGAATAAATGTATGTAGTTCTTATATTTTCATTATTTAATGCATTAGCTTTCATGATGAAATTAGATGATAACAGAGATAAGAAAAAAATATTAATGAGGAAATACTTTGAGTATTTATAAAAAGAATTTTTTGGTTATAAGCAAAGTTATAACACTATTAATAGAAATAAAGCATTTGATATATTAATGTAACAAACCATTTTTAATACATAATTCATATCACATACATTGGGTTTTAATAAAAAGGGACAAGTTGAATAGCAGCAACTCTAGAGGAATAGGACTGCTATCAACTGTATACAAGTCCCGAGAAGAACCAACTGTCGAAAACAGCTATTAGTAAAAGGCTAGTGTCATGGGAAGAAATAATTTGCAGAGAATACCAATGTGGCTTCAGGAAAAACAGATCAGCAGTGGATCACATCTTTGCTGTCACATAAATGATAGAGAATACATACAAACATAATAAGGATCTGAATTTAGTCTTTATAGATTTTAAGCTGGCATATGACTATAGAGAGAAAGAAATTAACACAAACTATGAGAATGCTAGGAATCCCGGAAAAATTGATTTCCTTGACAGGGATGACACAAAGTAAAGTCAAGATTCAAAATGTTCTCTCAAAGAGCTTTGAGATGAAACAGAGCTTGAAGTAAGAAAACCCTAAATCGCCAGTCCTCTTTAATCTAGTGCTGAAGCTGGCTGTTAGAGCAATAAGGACAAACCCTAAAAGGAGGATAGATAATCGGCTTACACAAAAATAATAAAAATAAAACTATTGACCAGATGGGCTATCCCTACCCCCACATATTGCCGCCACTAATTCTATGAGTGAAGAATCCTCAAATTGAATACTTTGTACATTCAGGCTTATTGCATCATTTTTCAAAATCCTCTTCTTAATTTCCAATTTTTCAAAAAAGTCCATTATTTTCCCTTTTGAAATGGCATGCTACAGTTTACAGTCTTGTTACTTTTTTGTGGATGTGAACAATTTAAAAAAGGGTCTTTAAAATGTGATGCATGGCCTGAACTAGGGTGGTGTTCTTTTATTCTTTTTTTTAGTTTCCTTCCCGTCTGCTCGATATAAACGGCAGAACATGAACATTCTATCGAGTAGACCCCACTCTTATTTAAAGGATCAACTCGATCTTTAGTCCCGGAGATTTTATTTATAATTTTTATTACATAAAATTTATGTGAGTCAAAAAAAAATTGTGGTCCTTGAACCTTTTACAAGTTTAAAATATATCTGGCCCAATAGCCCATCGGGTCAGTAGTTTTATTTTTATTATTTTTAGGCCTCATTCAACAAGCAGGAGAGAACCATTATCAGTTGGGTGATTACCATTTTTATTGATTAATTTATTAAGATGTAATTTTAAATTGTTACATTTTAAATTAGTTTTATTGTTTTTGTTAATTTTATTATTTTACCTAGACTGATGAAGGTCTGATAAAAGACCAAAACCAGTTGGGCAAAAGAGAAAAATAAATGGAATATACAGGAAGACATGTCTTTTTTTTTTAATTAAATTAAATATCAATCTTGTAATATCAAGCCACATTTAAAGAAAAATATTTTAATTGGAATTTTATTTAACTATTTTTTTTCATTCAATTTATTTTAATCATAGGCATCTTTATATTTTCTTATATTGTTAATTAATTTTATATATCAATTTTTTTTTTCGAATTTCTATAATTTTTATTTTATCTTTTCAACGATTACTTCATGCTTATGTTTTTTTGCTGCTATGTCAAAAATGAATTTTTTGTTAAAAAATTGTTATTTCCTATTCTTCATCCTTGATCTTTTTCCCTGCAATTCTACTTCCTAACATCTCAGTTATGACTAATACTCTAAACTCCTGTCACGTCAATGCACAATTCCTTGAGAAAAAGATGTAACTCAAAAATTACTCGAAAACAATTAAAAATAAAAGTTACAATCATATCAAAACTGATTAAAAATTAAAATTAAATTTCCTATTTAAAGTCCTGCTTAAAATCTTAATGTTATAGATGTTTTAGTTTTAAAACCATTCCCACCGGGTGTACGTGAGCGAAGCAATGACCTCCGCCAATAAACATCTCTACTGGTTAGCCAGACAGAATAAAATTGCAGCAAAGATAAAATAAGTTTGGTTCAGTGGCTGAAAAATTTAATGCAGATACTCAGACGGATATTCTGTGATAATTACTTAACCTAGCGACTTGGACGTTTTTAGTTGACATTTTGTATATATGTTTCCCAAAGTTTGTTTTAATTTTACTTGTTCGCACTAAAAATATTTTTATTTTCTACTTTCATTGTATTACTAATGAGCTGGAATTTTATTTAACTATTTTTATCTTTTTAACGATTACTTCATGCTTATATTTTTTTGCTGTTGTCAAAAATGAATATTTTGTTAAAAAATTGTTATATCCTATCCTCCATCCTTGATCCTTTTCTCTGCAATTCTACTTTCCAAAATCTCAGTTATGACTAATATCCTAAACTCTTGTCACGTCAATGCACAATCCCTTAATGCCCACTTTGATGAATTCCAAAAAAATTTCCGCAATAATTATTACCACACAATACAGTATCTGAAACCTTTTATTCCTTCCTCCCAAATTTCCTCTCCCCAATTACTCTTCCCTGGGACATGATAGATCTGATCGTATGGGGGTGGAGTCGGGCTATATGTACATGATAGTCTTAAGGCTAAAATTTTATTACAGTTTCCTTTTCATGACCTCTCTCACATTGAATATTTGTTTATTGAAATTACTTATATTTTCACTCCTTTATTATATGTTGTTGTCTACCACCCTCCTCGTGTTCCATTCAACCAACTCTTTGAATTATCCCTTGTCAACGTGGTTTCCTCCTATTCCAATGTCACAGGTGATTTTAATGTAAATATGCTCTCAGAATCTCCTGAAAAATACTTCCTTACTGAACTGATATTTTCCCTTAATCTCTATCTGATTACTTATTCTCCCACTCATCACACGCAATTTTCTGACACTTGGTTAGACCTCTACATTTCTGACTCTCCCGTCAAAATCGTTTTCTCTTCTCAACATCCCATTCCATTTCTTTCATCACATGACCTAATCCAAATTACATATGACTTACCCGTGAAATTCTTTATTCCCAAAATGGTTTCATATAGCAATTTAAACCTCCTTTACTATGAATCCCTTCAAACTGACCTCGACTCCGTCCAACTGGATATCATATATTATATAACTACATTCAACCTATGGTATCTACCCTTACCTCAAACCTAAAATCCGTATTAGACACCCATGCTCCTCTGAAAACTAGAACCTAACACCGTCCCACTGCTTCTTGGCTGACTCCTGAAATAAAGGAAGTTATAAAAAGAAGGTATGCAGCAAGGTGCAAATACCGCCAAACCCGTCTGCCTATTGATTATGTGTCTTTCAAAGAACTTTGCAATAGAACTCAATCCGCAATATGACTAGCTAAAGCCACCCACTTCCATAATGCCCTATCCATTGCTCCCGACTCCAAATCCAAATGGAAAATATTCCGTAACCTATCCCTACCAGAATCCAATAATTTCAGTTCCTTCCATGTGACTCAATTGATGATCTCAATGATCACTTCTTATCCTTCTCCTCTAATCCTTCTCTCACTTACGATATTAAGCATCACAATTTTAATCCGGAAGACCTTTTTTTCTCACATGTGTCCTACGATGAACTACTTTCCGCTATCCTAAAATCTCATACCAATGATTATGGCCCTCATAACATTCCAGTAAAACTAATAAAATCCAACCTTCCCATACTTTACCATATCTACAACTTTTCATTGCAAAACTTCATATTCCCATCTTCCTGGAAAACCGCCCTTGTCCGACCTTTAAATAAAACTTCAAATCCTTCTTCACCTCATGACTACTGTCCCATTTCCTTCCTTTCCAATATTTCAAAACCGCTGGAACACCTCGTTCAAACCCAACTTTCCAAATTCCTAGAAGACCCCTGTTCAACCCTCTCTAATCTGGCTTTCATCCTGGTTACTTGACTTAATCTGTCCTTCTAAAAATAACCCATGACCTCTAAAACTCCATTGAACACCAAAAACTTACTATCCTCATTCTCCTAGATTTCTCTAAAGCTTTTGACACACTTGACCACAGCATTCTCACAGTGTCCTGCGATGGTTCAAATCCTTCCTTTCAAATAGATCCCAGTATGTAGTCGTCCAAAGCCTACCTCCCTCTAAGGCACTTTCCCTCTCCTGCAGCATCCCTCAGGGTACCTCCCTATCTCCTACTCTATTTGCTATTTACATTAATGACCTTCCTTTCCTGATCCATCATTCCCAATGCCATATCTATATAGATGATTTCCAAATATACCTGTCCTTCCCTCTTTCTGATCTAGTAGCAGCCACAAAAAACTTCAAGAGGACTTGAATAGAATCTGTGACTGGGTGGATACGTGTGATGTAAACAAATTGAAGTTGAATGGCGAAAAGGTCAAGGAAATTTTGATAGGCTCCAGCCACCTCCTTAAAACTCTTCCTAACATACCAACCCTGTTCCTACACGACAATCTCATCAAATTCTATCCCACCATTAAGAACCTTGGAATAACCTTTGATCAAACCCTTTTCTGGAAAAACCATGTATCCAATATTTCCTGCCATGCCTTTTCCATTTTAAAATGACTAAATTGCCTTTGCTACCTATTACCATTTTAAACCCGTAAACTCCTTATAACTTCCTTAATATTTCCTCACTACGACTATTGCTGTTGCTGTACAGTATATGGGTGCATCTCCGGGGATCTCGAGGCGAAACTAAAACATTTGATACATTTCCTTGGACGATTCATCTTCAGAATCACAAGGGGCTCCTCTATTTCCTGTTATTATGAAGAGCTGAAACGGCTTTATCCTTCCTACCGACATAAGTATTTCCTAACATCCTTCCTCTTCCAAATCATCCAATCCTGCCATTCTTCATACATCTCCGAGCTCCTTCAATTTAAATCCTCTGTCTACTCCCGCAAAACCCGTTCCCGGTCTTCAGATTTGTATACAAGATCCCACCGAACAGATTGTTTTGACAGATCTTTCATTATTCGATCCCATGGAATTCTATCCCATCCTACATCCGTCCCTCCAACAAATACCGCTTGATCAGTCACCTCTTATCTGTTCAGTTATCATAAAATTGTAAATAGATGTTGTAAATATGTAAATAAATAATTAGATTGTTTTAAATTTCATTTTTTTCTCTTAATTGAAGATTGAAGGTAAATAATATTCTTTTCTTTTATTTATTCAGTAATATAAATCTGTTTATTTTGTGTTTCTTCTCTGAGGCTTCAAAGCTCATATTTCTATCTCTGTGCAGTATTCTAAAGGGACTTGTTTCAGAATAAATAAAGAATAAAAATTATTATTATTTATGGAAACAATTTAAGAATCAATGAAAGTTAATGATTTAGGAAATTAATGAAAGTATAATACAAAACATGTTTATTTTGTGAATTTCATTTTTACTTAAAATTAATAAATAATTCTTATAAAAAATTGAATTATAATATACAAGATTTGAAGTAGAACCACTTCAAACAAGCTTCATCTTGAACATAAAACAGCATTCCTTCTCAGGTCCTGCTTTTTCTTCCCAAATCTTCCATTTAACATCAAATTTTTGCTGAGAAAAGATAATAAGTATTATAAAACTGAAATCTTTTAATATTTTATTAAATTCCTATTGAAAAATTTTAATAGGAAAAAGTAATTTTAAGAAATAAAAATTTAATTTCTTAAAATATGTAATCAAGATGGTAATACTTACAGCAGGAAAAGACTTTGAAATATCTAAAGTATAATTGAACTGTTTGTCTACATTCTTAACAACAGGGCATTCTGTATGTTTGCATAAATCAGTATCCATACCAACAAATGGCAAATCTGCAAGTACTGTGGCCCAATAAGCTCGAGTTTTCAATGGTTCTACTGGTTCATATTCTGCCAAAAAATAAATAAAGAGACTTAGAAAACATCAGGATCAGTTTTAATAAAAGAGATAAGTTTAAAGTTATAGGCAATTTTAAAGTAAATTAAAACTACCAATAAAAAAAATTAAATGATTATATTTTGTTTTTAGTTTTCAAAATGAATAGATATTATTTGTATTTTATTTGGTTCTTAATTTTATTATTTATTTTCTTTATATTTATTTCTACTACAAATAATAAATTTAAGAAAAAAAAAACCTAATGGTCTAATAAATGTTAGCAAAGTGTAATCTTGAGTTTATCAAACATTGCTTTTTCACAGGAAATCCAAATTTGGTATATATATATATATATATATATTTATATATATACACATACAAATATGAATCCTTTATAAGCCTGACCTTAAAAATAAAGATTAACTTGAAAGTTCCAACCATATACACTTCTTATTGCTGTTACATATTCCTAAACATTTACAGCATTCTTTTACATTGTTTGGAAGGAAGGTAGAAAAGTTTCATATGGGCTATCTTTGAGGAAATCCTTTCATCAATTAATCAAATGTTTAATATTTGTAATATTATAGAAATGATTAATTAATTCAGGATGCTACTGCATCTTTAATGGGATTTTAGACCACACTAAGAAATATTCTTATACTTTGAATAAGCAAAAGGATTAGGCTAATAAATGGAGTGTTAGTTGTGTAAGAATATTTCTAGAAGACATTTGCTAAAATATCTCTCATGAAGGAACATTAGAAGATTTAAGATTTAATTCTGAGAGCTGACCTTTTTGTTTTTAATAACTGTAATTAAAGGAACAATAATGCTTCTAGGGATCAAATTTTTACGTATTTTCAGGACTCTTGCTTATGACATAATGAAAAAAAAAGAATATTTCTCTATTTTTGAGATACTTCATCCTGAAAGTCTCCTCTTGAATCTGTTAGTGTCTGGGAGAGCATGGTGTTACCCTTTGGATTAATAGTAGAAATACATAACTGAATTTTAAAAATTATGAATTTGTTTCTTTTTTATCATTTATATTTTTTATTCACCTTAAATTTTGCTAAAATAATAAAAGCTATGGCTAACAATTATGAATTTTTATTCCCAAATTAAAAAACAAAAAATTAAAAACAGATTTATTAAATAGTGCATTCAATATCTCCAATTATGTATTTAATGTGATAAAAAGTGTATTTCTGAAATAACAAAGTTGTTCATAATTCAGAAATAATGTTTTTTCTATCATCAATCTATCATGACTGACATCATTAACAAGCATTATAATTAATTAATAATGAATTTTGAATAAACACTTATTGAAGAAGTTGAGCTTGTAACCATCAACTGAACATATGCAAGGTTTGTGGTGGGAGACAGTTACTTTCTTGATGACTTCACAATAGATTCAATAATATTAAAATTGTGATATGACTGAAAATTTTATGCAGGAGTAAAAAAACAATAAAAGAAAATCCTCATTGGAGTAGTCAATACAGTTTATTATAGAAAAAAGATTCATTACCTTTTTAGTCTTTAAAATAAGCAATCCCAATATATTAATAATAACACTGCCTTACTCAATTCTCACAACTATACAAGAGCTTAGAAGAAACCCTTAATTTCTTAAAAGTTATAGCATATCTGATAATCAAAATGCATGGTTACCAGCCAATTGGGCATGAAGAAACTTATCTAGTGTGCTACCTTACACATTTAACTCAAAAATTGAGTAAGGCGGTGATAGAATTTATATGACAAAATATAAAATGAAACATTTGGTTTATTCATATATATAATTTTTATAATACCTATTTTATACTTGAATGCAATTGATGCATACTCTCCCCTTTTGATTTTGCAAGGCTCATTTTTAGCAGCTTCCGGGCATGGTTCAATTTTAACATCTGATACAGTACAAAGCTTCCCGCTTTTACCTGTAACAATCACCCTTAACTATGGTAAAAATGTATATTGTTTAGTCTTATTTAATTTAAAAAGTAAAAAGTTGGTATTACAAATATTCAAAAGCAGTTAACAAACATAAATCACTTTAGCCTAAAAAGGCCAAAGGGATAAGTATAATACAAAAGCCTGTTTTTTTAAATCAAATGCCACATGAATACTATTAACAGATAAAAACAGATTTATAATACTCATAAATTTCTTCAAATATCATTTAAATTTAAATGTAAGGGGAAAAAATTAATTTGTTGATTATTATTTAGAATTATTTATTATTTAAATACAGATGACTTACAAAATAAATCTGCAATGGTGACTTCAAAGATTATTAATATATAAATAATGATGTTCATTGTTTAAAGAGTTTAATGCTTATATGATACCTCTCAGATCCTTAGACAACTCCCTCCTAAAGCTGTCATATTCCTTACATACATGTACAATAGCATCCTGTGAACCACCCACTTTCCTTTTTAATTATTCTATTTCCAAAATCAGGCAAACCTCCCAACTGCTTAAATTCTTACAGACCCATTTGCCTAATTCCAATCTTTTCAAAAATCCTTGAAAAGATCCTCCTGAAACGAATCCTACTCTTTATAGAATCTCAAAATCTTCCTTCACATCAGTTTGGATTCTGTTCCCAACACTCCACAGTCCTACAAGGACTTCAAGTGGTCAATCATATTTCCTTAGCCCTGGAAAGCAAGCAATATTGCTCGGGTGCATTTCTGGACATAGCTCAAGATTTTGATTAGGTATAACACGTCGAGCATCTTTTCAAACTTAAAATCCATCTGCCTCAGTCTTTATACCTTGTCTTCCGCCTATACCTCCTGTCCTATACCTCCTGTCTCCTTTATACCTCCTATCTCTCAGATCGTACCTTCCGAGTTCGCTGTGGCACTGAATTTCCCATTGCTATCCAATGGAGGTCGGTATTTCTCAAGGTAGCGTATTGAGTCCCTTACTTTACATCCTCTTTACCGCCGATATCCCTGTCCATATCGATACCTTCCTGGCAACATTTGCTGATGACACCGCCAATCCATCATTCGACTCAGATCCTGAAATTTATACTTTAATTCTATTCAGCTTCCTTTCTCAAACACAGTTCAGTATCTTGGCTTTCTCTTAGACAGACGGCTAACATGGAACCCTCATACTAGACTTAAAAGACAGGAATTTAACCGACGATACGGCCAATTATACAGATTACTAAATAGAAAATATAAACTTTCTATTGAAAATAAAATACTTATCTACAAGACAATACTGAAACCTACTTGGACTTACGAACTTAAATTGTAGAGAACAGAAAAATTTTCCAACATAAAATGCATCCAATCCTTCCAGTCCAAAGTCCTTCGAATTCTATAATTCTCGAATCAGCAAAATTCTCCAAATTTCACCAGAACCTTACCAATAATCCAAATCCCTTTGCACAATCTCCATCCAGCACCACCCATCCCTATAATCCTCCAAGAAGGTTAAAAGGGCAGTGGCCCCGCGGCCTTTTATAGTTTGTAAATATTGGAGTTCTGGCAATGGCCAGATTCTCCACTCACGACATGAGTGTATGTGGCTAAAGCACTCTTGCTCAATCTCCACTGGGTTTAGCCTCAGTTACGTGGTGCAGGGATCTCCTGGAGTCATGCTTTTCCCTCCACAGTTAGAGTGACAACTCTGGCTCGGAGTTCTCTCGCCTGATTGTAAATAGTGTATATAGGTATGAATGTGTTCTTTTTTATCTTATTTATTGTATATATATATCTATATATATATATATATATTATTATTCTGTACAATTCATTTTTATTTATTATATATAGAGTATGAATGTGATCTCTGAACACTATTATAAATGTCCTTTAAGACAGATTGTAACATTTTTCAATAAAGAAATTTAAAATAAAAATGCTTATATGAAACTATGGTAGGGATGAAACTCACTGCAACCTTGGTCTATATTTCTTTTGTTGATGATGGATCGCTTCTTAAAGAATTTTCTTTTGTGATCTCATCTGACGTGGCTCATTTTAATGTTTGTAAATCTACATTAGTTTCTATTTATCACAGTCTATTTGATTATATTATTCCCATTTAGCACCTTTGATAATTACAAATTATTTTTTACACCACAGATAGTGGGCAATGAGCAAGTACGTGTAATGGTAAATGTAGATCTATTGTAACTAAACGTAGATAGTAAACGGAAAGAAGGTGGTAATTTTTACAATCAATCTATCTTTTTTAAATCATCCATGGATTGTGTTTCATTCCAGCATGGATTATGGAACAATTCAATAATGGTTATTTTGTAAACAATTCGATTAAAGTAGTTATAAACATGAATTGTGATATGAATCAAGTCAATTTTCAACTCAACGAATTGGTGTGTTTTTGAACTTCAAATTATTCCATAAACAAAAAATAAATTAATCAGAAATACAATTTATTACCATTTCAATCTTCACAAAACTACCATTTTTAAGTTGTCTCATTATTTATATTAGAAGATTATATATATATATATATATATATATATATATATATATATATATATATATATATATATATATATATATATGTTATATATATATATATATATATATATATGTTATCTATTACCCATCTGGTGGTTCTTTCATAACATTAAGATTTTTAAAAATCTCTGTAATAAATAACTGTAGAAAATTTGAAATTTTGATAAAGAATGAACTTTACCCAAAGCAGTTCAGGGGTTATCTGTTCTTATTGGTCATCTATCATAAGTTTTATCAATCAATACACTCAACAATCATAATCAAACAAAGATAAATTTGGTCTGCAAATCATTGATTACTGAATGAAACTTATTCATTTCACAGCATTAGTAAAAGATGAAAAAAATTATTTATGCAGTATATAATTTAATTTAAAAAAATGTTAAAAACAAATATAAAGATAGTGCTGCGGATTCATTCAAATTACTTAGAAAAAAAATTATTAATAATATTTTATAGTTAGAATCTGAGCACGAAACAAAAAGATATTGCAGACATTAATTATCAAAGAAACAGCAATTTTTTAAAATTTGACTTGGCATTTAATAAAGTAGAAAGAAAAATCCTTTTATAGCTGACCATGAACCATCACTTGACCTTATTAGGAGGTTTATTCATACATACAATTTTCAACATTTATTATTAAATTGAGCAAGTGATAATCCTTCCATACTACGACACATGTGGATCTTTTATAAAAAAAATTCACCATTTCAATTTCATTATTACAAATATCCTGAGATAATAATGAAGAGATTTGTTCTTTTTTAATTTCTAAGGCAGGTATTTTTTTATTTTATTATTTTTTTGCTGAAGCACATTAATTCAGTCAGCACTGGGATTGGTAATTTTATCTATATTTTTCCAAAGAGAAAAAAAAAGGTGTTGTACTGTAGATAGGTAGGTAGTTTGAATGAATTTGGAGACCAGAACAGTAGAAAATGAATAACTGCTTTATTTAGTTCAAAATTTATTAATTAAATAAAAACTTTCTGAACTGAAACAAATAAAAAAAAAATTAAGGTAATTTTTAATAAAATTTCATAAAGAAAAATATCATTAATCTAAAAAGTAATCCTGCCCAAAAGAAGACCTCCATAAAAAAAATCTAATAAGATGGACTTAAAGAACATTTATCAAAAAAATGGTATAATTGTGTTGATGGTAAAATATTAAGGCCTTTAAAAAAGCATCTTCTATCGGCTAGAGATAGAAATAAATGGTCATTTTAATTTGAAACTGTTTATTTTCAGATTTTAAACTACAAAACTAAAATATGTCCCACTATATGTTATAGCACACAATTGTTTTCAATGATTAACAAATCAACAGAAAAACGGCAGCAATTGTTTGGAAATGGAATATTATGAAAATAAGTTAAGGAACATTCACAAAATGAGAGAAAGCGTCAATACTATACAAGGAATCACAAATACCAATAGTTAAGAATTGCAAAACTAAAGGAAATATCAAATTTTATGAATGAGTAAAAAGCGTAATAAATCCTTTATTTAGTCAACTTAAACCTTCTCGACTACCACGATGCTGTTAAATGTTTAAAAATTAAATTTTAACTTCAGTTATAGCTAGTAAGATCAACACAAAAAAAAGGGTGAACCCCATTACCTAATCATTATGAAGAAATCAGACGTAATCAGCAATAATAATGAATATAAAGACAACCTTAGAATGCAAATGTGCAGAAAAAGAAGGATTTTAAGACCTTAAACTACAAAAATAAATAGGCGATAATGAAAGAAAATAAAGTGGTATTTATTTAATGTTTTTTAATAGAAAAAAAGAATAGTATTCAAATTATCATCAAAATGTTATGTTTCATGAAGTTACCTTATTCATTTATTATTATTATGATTTTTCTGAATCAAAAAAAAATTATGTCAGTTATTTCGTTTCATCCCTCTCAATCCAAACATTTCTTATTTAGGTAAAATACTATCAAAATCAGGTTATTTTGATTGGATATAGCCAGCTGGTTCAACAGGACGCAAAAAAAACAAAACAAGTTAACTGATAACCGGTTATTATTTTTTATTTTATTTTCCCCTCCCCTTCCCTGCCTATTAGTCAAAAGGGTGGTTCCAGCAGTGTAGCGTTACTTCTTATGCTAAGTAAAAATCCACTGCTGAAAGTAATGTTGTGCTGTGCTGTATATCATTTAATTTGGCCAATGTCTTTTTTTCTGCTCTTTCTCAGTCTGGCAGCCTCCTTGGTATAATTTTTTTGTGTCCGTTCTAAGGAGAAGTAGACTGGGTACACAATATTCCTCCATCCATATATAAATTCCTTGGAATGATGATCATTTTGTTAACTAATGAGCTGAGGGAGTTTGGCCTTGAGTGTCTCCTAGGCAGTCATATATAACTAGTTATTTTTTAATAAACACCAATCCAACTATCAACCGTTTT